AATATTAAAAATATTTTTTCACAATATATATAATATATAATAATATAATTAAGTCAAAAATTATTCAATATTGAATTTATTTCGAAGGTATTAAAAAGACGATTATAATGGTGTAACTTGTTAAAATAAAAATGTATTTTTTAAAAATGTTTTAATTATGTACATTAATTCGATAAAAGTTTAAAATGAAACATTTAAAAGTAAAGGACGTAAAATAAATTAATTAACTAATTATAGGGGTATAAAGTGTAAATTTAAAAAAAATTGGTTGTGAGGGGGTGAGTGCATGTGAGAAGAGGAGGGGGTGAAAAAGTAAAAAAATATATAAAGGGTATCTTGGTCATTTAGTATTTTAAGACTTTAAGACTTTTGCTAAATTTGTTTTATAAGATATAAGATATTATAGATAAACATATTTTAATTGATATATGATTATATATATTAATTCGATAAATGTTTAAAATGAAACATTTAAAAGTAAATGATGTAAAATAAATTAATTACCTAATTATATGAGTATAAAATGTAAATTTAAAATTAAAAGATGTAAAGTAAATTAATTATCTAATTATAGGAGTATAAAGTGTAAATTTAAAACTATAATTTTTAAAAAATTGGTTGTGAGAGGGTGAGTGTATGTGAGGGGGTGAGTGCATGTGAGAAGAGGAGGGGTTAAAAAGTGAAAAAATGTATAAAATGTTTCTTGGTCATTTAGTATTTTAAGACTTTAAGACTTTTGCTAAATTTGCTTTATAAGATAATATAGATAAGACTTAATGAGACTCCCAACTTATTTGATCAACTATATATAACTTGTTTCGTAGTGACTTAATAATATAAAATATGGTTTATTTAGTAAACTTTTAGGGAAGAGCTTTATATAGAAAAAACTAGTTTTTTTTCTTCTTCTAGATTTGCTCATTACAATTAAAAAACACGTTTTTCCTTCTAGAATTAATTCCAAACAAAAACATTTATAATCGATACAGATAATATTATCCATTTAACATCTAGGGGCTGTTCAGTTCGTTTTTCATCAAGTCATGTATAAATAAAGTTATCTGTAGTGATAAAGTTGTTTGTATGATAACTATTAAGTTATTTTCAATTGACATGCTGAATAAACAGTTTGAATGGTGAAAACTACTATTTTACCCTTTGTTTTACATTGAAGAAAAAACAAACTCCTACGATGATCAGAGCAGCGATAAATCAAAATAAACCCATGATCAACAATAATTTAGTAAAAATTTGTCCCATAAAGCGTATAATACAAACCTAAATCATAAACTGATTTCGAACCCTAAATCATAAACTCACATCAAACCCACAATCATGAGAAAAAACCAAGAAAAATGAAGAACCCTAAATCAAAAACTCAAATCAAGCAAGAAAGGTTAGGACCTATATCAGATCAGTTCGTTTCCTTTTGTTGTTGATGGCTTTGAGCAGTGAAAGAACAGATCGGCAGGGAGTAAGGGGAGAACGAGAGAAAACGATGGAGAAGCAGGTGGAAAAACATCGGTCGAACACCCTTGAGCTAAACTCGAAGATTTTGGAAGAAATCAAGCTGTTGATTTTGTAATAGTAGAAAATAAGAAATCGAGATTGTAGGGGAATACGTCGGGGCGGAGGTTGATGAATACGTCGGTCGGAGGTTGAGGACTATGCCGGCGGCCAGTTGCCGGCCGAAAGCTATAGTTGACGGCTAAATACGTCGGTCGAAGGCAAGTTGTTGTGAAGCCGCAAAAGTAGGGGATTGAGGGAGCGGCACAGTGAAGGGAAAATCAAGGGTAATTAGGGAAGTATTGATGGCTGAGGCCATAGTAGTGGTGTTTTTGAGCTGAGCAAATAAGCTCTCAACTGAGTGAATAAGCCTCAATCGAACAGCCTTTCATAGCTGAGCAAATAAGCTATAAGGCTTGTACAACCCATTAAGCCACAAACGAACAAACCTTTAATAAAAAACCAATCAAATAATTCGTTAATAAAAAATCAACCAAACAACCAATAATATTGATATGAGTAGACATACAAATAATAAAAAAATTATTTAGCAAACGAATCACCCAATAAAATTCAGTAGAAGGGAAAAAGAGAGAGAGTAAAATTGGGGGTTGCGGTTTCCTGTAAACGGGTCGGGTCGGGTCGGGTGGGTACGACTACTCTATTCAGTATTTAGTCTTCCCCCAAAACCTAGGGCAATAGTGGAAGTAGCTGATTGAGGCGAGAGAGATGGCAGGAGGGCATGGGCATGGAACGACATATAAAGGTGTGACATTGCATCAGCCTAAGCGGTGGCATACGGTCACTGGGAAGGGCATGTGCGCCATGATGTGGTAATTTACTCTTACGTTTTATGCCTTGATCTCGTTTGTAATCTGGGACACCTGAAAATGATCCTCCGATTGAATCTTTTCCTATTTAATTTCATGTTTTTCTTATTAGTTGGTTGAATGTTGTGGTTTTATCCTAAATTTGACTTGGTTCTATCATTTTCTTTTGAGGGAGAAAATGAGACTGTATTGATAGGATATCGGAAAGATCCGATTGAGGTTACAACGAAAAGGAAGCAACTAATAGAGATTCATACATCGCGCTTTCATAGTTTTGATCTGGAAAAATGTTTCTAATCTAATACTTTTTTGTATTGTTAGATGTGCTAATCAGTTTTTTATATGGAAAAGATATATTTTCCTTAATTTTGGTGTTGAAGAATGTCGATTTTTGGTTTTGTGCCAAGGAGTTCAACTAATGATTCTTCTCGATTAGACTTGTGGATATGTGAGACAAAAAGATTATTTGCATATGGTGTTCAGTGATCTAGAGAAGACAGCCAGTTTGAAAAAAAACAATCTATAGAGTGTTCTTTTTATGTGGATTAACATAAGTATGATGGCTTACTAATTCGTAATGAGCAGGAAAGCATGTGAGGAGGCGGCTCATGTATTTTCTTGGGTTACTGTATGTAGGGTAAACTAGATTCATCATAAAATCCTTGTCTCAGGTTTTGCTTGTGGATCAGCTGATAACGGATATATAATACAATATATCTTGATGTATGGCTTTAGCCAATGATTGTGTTGATTAATGAAACTACTCAATATGTTAATGCATAATTGGAGATATGGAGAAACACCTTGGAAATTTAGAGGCATTTGATCAAGCCGATTAAAACAGAGTAACAAAGTGCAAGTTTTGCTGATGGAAAGATTAACAAGAATGTGGATCTTTGCAGTGAAATTCATACGCGCACACTCAAACGATTAAAACCAAGTGTCTAACTTAATGAATTTATGGCTGTTTCAAGAACTTTCAAATAGGAGCACTTTGGTTAATCGCACAATCACCAACCCAAATGCCAAAATTATAAAATAGAAGCACAACAGGAGTTTTGCTTGAATCGGCTCATATTGTTAGGTTTGACGACCTACATACATAGCCAAGTAACAATTTGTACTTATCAGTGTATTATGCATAATAATTTCAATCATTCAATGGAAGTCAAAATACACTTAGAGAAAAAAAGAAAGACGTAATGCTACAAACATTGCACCAATTGAAGAATAAACTCCGATCTCCTTGCCCGAATCCTTCTGGATTTTGGATTCAGCTTTGCTTGGACCCTTTGAGCATAAGACTTGGTGTGCCTTGGTAGTTTGTTGAAGAGAGAGACTGAGATACTTACTATCTCAACTTTTCTGACTTTGTTCCTCTGCTTTTACTGAAACAAATAAGATTAAGTCAGCTGAAATTAGTATCAAAATTCAAAAGATAAGTTTTAAGTTTTAACCAACCAAAAATCTCTGCAAATCTGCCCATCAGCTAATTGTTCTAGTCCAGGTAGTCTTCATGTACTATTATGCTCTTGTTTGTTACACCTAGTCTATTTGCCAAATTATGTACAACTACTTACCGGTGCCCGATGTTTTTTTTACTATACTTGTCAGATCATGTAGTCTACTACTTATCAGATCAGTTAGTTTGCTTGAAAGTATATAAGAACCCAATATCTTTTGTGGTATACATTCACCATATAAAAAAACTAGTATTTTTTAAGATTGCACCATGAAGACCTAATGATAAACTAGTATTGCTCCCAAACGTTTCTTATGGTTGCAGCACAAGACATAAAGATAAGCTAATATTTCTTTGATTCTTTCCAGCATTTCTTACAGTTGTTTCAGTAAAACATAACGATAAACTGGTAAATTCTTCCCAACATTTCATGCAGCTGCATCATCAAACACAATACAACTAATATGCAGTTTGGTTACACTTGTTGGAAAACTTGGAATACAGATTTGTATCAACCAGATCTGTACCAACCAGTAATGAAGAGAGCCTTGTGTGAGTGGAATGTAACAAAGGAATTTTCTTTAGAGAATAGTGTGGAAGGAGGTTTTTCATGTCCCAGAGGCCGTGGGTGGTTCTCCTTTACATAATTTATATTCTTCTTCGATAATTTTCTTCTGTTTAATAACTTCTACTGGGTTTCTCTTTTAGCATACCCTAACTAGGTTGGGCAAAATAGCTGTAAAAATATGGGATTTTTGGACAAATTTCGATGGAGACAGAAGTTGAAGCATTATAGTACATTGATTGGTGATCATAGACACCTAGACTAAAATCGCACACAAATAATTCTTTATAAATGGACAAACTTGCATATATCATGGCAAACATAATCAAAAAACATTATCCTTAGTAGCTTGTTCTATGATTTCAGCCAGGAAGGTGCTGAGCGCCGATGATGAGTATAGAGATGGTAAGAACTTCTAGTGTTACGAATAATAGGTGAGTTATGTTTTTAAATTACTGGATGCTTGAAGAAAACACAAAGTTTGATAGCGAATTCAATAGATGAAGGCTTGAGGACAATCAGAGAAAGGAGATCAGAGATTGGGGTAGAAGACAGGAGGGAGAACCATATGGAGAGAAGTTTCAGATAGATTTTGCATTTTAGAGAGAAACAAGTAACAGAAGCAATTCAATTCATTTGTGCCATTTTGTGTAATATCTCAATTACTGAATTACAGAACAGTTTAGTTGCCATTTAGGATCTCTGGACTTGCACTTGCTACAACTGTGTGTTGGATAGGATCATCCAAGCCTCTACCCTTGCTATTAGAAGTTATCTACGATAGATAGGATAATTTTTACAGAACAGTTGCGGATGCTTACACAACTGACAGTCTCTGTAAGTGCAATGGAATGTGAGGCTCATGAGGGCACTGTTGCAGCTCTGCTGGTTCAGATTCTTAGAAGGTACTATGAAACTAGGGCTGTTAAAAGGAACTGCTGACCCGAACAATGAATTGAGCCAAAATATGGTTAACCATGCAAAGTGGTACGGTTTCAGTTTGAAATTTTTGGTGATATGCATTATTTGGTACTTACAAAAATGTGGTTAACCAAAACAACTTGCTTATAAATATACATGCATAGATATACATATACATACATACATACATACATACATACATATATGTATATATGTATATTTTAAAGTAATAAAAATACATATTGTATAATAAAAATAAATTCAAATATTTCATATTCTTTTTATCTTAAAAATAAAAAATTCTTAATGAACTAAAAGAAAATGCCGGCCTTTCTTTATGGTCTGAGTGAGATGATCAGTTAATAAAATACAATGATCTTGTATCAAGACTCCTTGCATTGAAATTGTGGTACTTCCATTAGTTTTCGTTACTTCTTTTTTATTGGTTCAAACCTAACATCAATACTTTTGGACGCATGGGCTGATTAGTCAAGATTATTGATTGTTATATATTGTAATCAATATAGATACAAAGTCCTTTTGTTTTGCATAAAGAGGTTAACCACTAACTGAGCCGAAGGTTAACCGCAAATTGAAGTGAATGGCAAAATGATGTGTGGTTTAGGTTTGACATTTTAGGCCGAACTATATTGAGGTTAGGTTAGGGTTTCTCAAAATTTTGTGATTAACCGAACTTCTAACACCTCTACATGAAACTTCTATCTACTCAAGTACCCCACAGGTTACATGCATTTGTTGCACAAGATCTGTTATGGAGGTCGTATTTATTACAATATAGCCATCAAACTATCTACAATTGCCTTATTTCCCCTACTTATTATAAAATTGAGTGCTTTACTCTGCTTTTATTGCTACCTTGTTATAACCTCAAATTTTGATTAGTTGGTGGTTATAACTATATTATGTTACTTTCTGGCGAAGTGTATACCGTCCGTCACACAATTGCAACCTTTTAGAGTTGTACCACGAGATGCAAGATGCTGCTTAATTATCTTAAAAGCTTACCAGATATGATGCTGTTTCAGGTTCTGGATTCTATATAGGGCTAAGCAAGACGGCCCTGTAGTTCTGGTGAGCATCAATTTATCTCTCGAGTTAATTTTAGAACTGTGGCAAGTCTAGAATTTCAGAGTGGGTGCTTTCTTTTACAAATTATGGTACATATGCTTACATATTTAAATAAAATATTAAAAAAATATAAAAGGGAAATAGAGCTTTTTGAAAGGGAAGGAAAGAAGAGTTATTTTTCCTCATAACAAGAGACTTTTTGAACACTGTAATGATTTCTAGTTGGTAAGGGAGGGTGGTCACTTATGGCATTGGTGAACTTTCGCCCAAGGTTAATAGGGTTTGGTTAACTTTTTGATGGGTGTTCACTATGTAATGCAAATCTGCGCTGCATGGTTTTGTGCGGTAGGATGAACGCTCCTAATAGCAAAAGCCAACAGAAGCAGTTACACTTATGCAAACAACATAAGCAAATAGCAATAGCCAATAGAAGCAAAAGCAGTTAAGCAGACTACAGAATCAAATGAAATAGCGAACAGAGGCTGAAGCATATAACAATAGCCAACAAAAACAGATACCGATGACAAGCTCAGAAATTTAAAGGTTAAAGCCATAAGCCATTGTCCATTGAATTGTTGAAGCACGAAAGCAGTGAAGTAGTCAAGCATATAAAGATAGCAATAACCAATAGCCTTGGACCTCGGTACTAGGTAAAAAACTCAAATAAGCAATAAGCAGTAGCAGAAAACAAAGGGTCATTTAACTTTTTACAGATTTTCTTCTCCAATCTAATTAATTAATACATTTTTTTGGCCCATATTATCTATTAAATTCTCTTTGCACTCCTATTATGTTCCAAAAAAGGTGGGCCTATATTATCTACTAAGTTTTTTTTAGCACTACTACGATATATACTATAAAAATTTGGGCCCTGGGTAGGAGTCTGCCGTGCCCGCCTCCAGAAACGACCCTGATCCCTGGTTAGATATCCACTACTGCATAATCTCGTTCTCATCAGAACAAACCATCCTGCTTGCACAGGGGAGAAAAACGAAAAAAATGCATGCATTTTGAGGGATTGCAAGGGACATCTAGCATATCCTTATTTTGCTGACATTAAATGATTGTAGGTCGATATGAGTATAGCTTGAAATACCATTGATTTGATTTATTTGAATTATTTGTATGTAATTTAGGGATGGCGGCATCCTTGGGAAGGGCATGGACATGGAGACGAACATTAGGTAATTTCTTCGTTCTGCATCTTATTATATTTGTGTTCTAAAAAACCGAGTCAACCTAATCTTTATCAAATTCAAATTTGACCCCAAATATATTTAAAGTTTTGTAAGTCCAAAGTGTTTTTAGTTTATCATCTCTTTTAACAATCTAATTTCCAATTTCTATGTTTTGATGGAAACAAAATAACAAATCCTTTTGATGGTTGAAGACACATTTTTTGGTCAGCAATCACAAATGGTGTTATAAGACATGTCTTAACGTGGTGCAACCACCCACACCGCTTGCCAAACATTTACCTAGTAAGTGCTTACCGGTAAAATTTAATACTACTATTTACTTACCGGGTAAGAATTTAGTCCAACAAAACGACATTGTATGCACCAATTTACCCCGTAAGCGCTTACCGTGGTAAGAGTCATTGTTCTCACTTACCGGTAAGACTCTTGGTCCTTGTCCAACTCTTACTGGGTAAAATTTTTGGTCTTTACCATATTCATTCGATGAGGTAATCTGACTTGATAAGTGCTTACCCGGATAAGCGTTTGGTAAACGGCTAGATCTATCGGTAATTAATACACAAATATTTAATAGTTGATAAGATAGATAATTAATTAAGGGGTAAAGTTGTCATCTGGTTAACTAAAAAGTTTAATGATTATGCATGTGTAAAACTGTGTCGCTTATATTGTGGACACTTGCTTTGAAGACTGAGGGAGTATTAAAACGTAATTCCTTTGACGTATAAATCATTTGTATGTTGTTTTTTACGATAATTGCTTATCTTATTTGATTTTGACGCCATGTAAATATAATGTTCTCAGGTGGACCGATGATCGAAAGTGGGCGTAAACCATCTTGTGGTAGCTTTTCAACACAACCTGCGTTTCCTGCATACCTTGTTTTTTTGTTGAATAAAAATGACAATTTGGAACTTATGAACGGCTTCTGTTTCGTTACTCTTGTTTAAATGGCAGATTGTGTACTCTTGCACGGTTGCACCCAGGCAGACATGTATATTGAACCCTGTCTTTTTGGGCAATTTATGCCACATTTTAAGCATCATCGAGTGTAGGGGTGTAAACGAGCCGAGTCGAGTCGAATTGCAGGTTATTTGAGTCGGGCTCGAAAAAAAATACCAAGCTCGACTCGAGCTCAAATAACTTTTCCAATTTAGGGCTCGAGCTTGATGCTCGTTTATGAGCTTGAATTCATGATCGATTAACTCGTTTATAGGCTTGAGGATGATAAATTTTATATTTATATCGTATGATTGCATATGAGCAGGTGTGGCTTGAAAAAGTGTTTGCGCAAATGGCTCGGCTCGAGTCAAAAAGTTTAATATTTTCCGAACGAGTCGGGTCGAACATTGGTGTTTTGAAGCTCGACTCGTTTAGTTAAACTAGTTTTATTTTGTGTTCGAGATTGATTTGATAATTATTAAGCTCGAGCTTGAGATAAAAGATTGATGGTCACTAGGGGTACGTTTGGTACTTGTTGAGATTGGACAAGATTGTATTAAAACTCGTTTCACATTTGGTGTAACATGAGACCGAGAGTAAGAGTGCCCATTAGAGTTGCGTTTGGTACTTGAGATTGGACAAAATAGTACTAAAACTCGCTTATTCACATTTGGTGCAACATGAGACCGGGAGTGATCATGTGCTCATCAGGATTTAGGACTATGTTTGGTGTTTGAGATTGGGCATTTCTTGCCTCACATTTGATGTGACATAAGACTGAGATTAAGATTGATGCTGTTCTTTTTGTTCTATCAAAAGAGGTGGTACAAAAATCACTAGGTTACGACATAAGTAAAAAATATCCTATCTTAAGGGTGTTTGTTTTTTTTTTGATTAACCTGGATATTCAATCCGTTATATGAGCCGACTAATCCCAAGACGACCATCTGCTTTGCAGATAACACATAGTCACTGCATTTGAACCTCTGTAGCCACAAGAGGATTTTTATTTCTCATTGGATTTGAACCTGGACTTTATGGTATTTTTGACCTTTGGAACCAAGCTCAAACCAATCAGGCACCACCCTTGTGGTTGGTGTTTGTTTTTAATTTTTTTTTTTTTTTTTTGTAAGGGTGTCCGGGCCAAAGCCCGACTAATCCCCGGGCAAATTTGGAGGCTAAACATGGCCCCACTTAAATGTCGCCAACACTCCCCTCTTAGGGCTCGAACTCAGGTTCATGACTATGTCATGCCCAAGCCTTTACCACTAGGCTGGAAGGTGTTTGATTTTAACTTAATGCTAAAAGGTTCACTTAGCATATTAAGTTAATTCATCCTATCTTAATGCATTAAGTCAGAAATTTATGCAAAATTACCATTGTCCTACAATTTTTAATCACACATCTTATTAAAAAATAAATAGTCAAACATGCACAAATTAAAATTTATAGTCAAACAATAATAATTTATTGTTTTAAGCATATTTTAAATTATTATGTATTGTGTTATGAACTCGTTGAAATCATATTATTTATGTTATTTTAAATGATTCATATTCTTTTATTTTGTTTTTGTCATTTTAGATATTTATCAAACAATTTATTTTCATTCAGCACTTATGTAGACATAAAGTTAAAATGGTAATTTATGTTGTTCAAGTTATTTATTTAGAATAGAAATCAAACAACAATATATCTTAATTTATACAGACAGATTAATACTTAGAAACAACTTAATCGATTCAGAACTTCATTAATAAAAAATAAGCAACCCCTTACTCTAATTTGACATAACCCAATGTGGTCATTTTAAGTTTTAACAACCTTTTTTTTTATTCAGTTGTGTCCAACTTACGAAATACAGTACAAACAACTTGTTCAATCTTGTCTTTGTTGTAGCAAACATCAGATAAATTGTTCAACCTTATACTCTTGTCTGTTCCTATCTCTATACCAAATGATATTTGATCTTGAATTTTTGATCTTAAAAGTCGGCTTGTATTATTTAGTTGCAACACTTGGTTCAATAATTATCATAGGGTTATTAGAGCATCTTCTATGCAAGGTTTTTATTATAAAAAAGATAGTGGTTTGTAAGAATTACCATTGTAAAGAGGTTCTTATAAGAACCTATCCCCTTTAGTTGTTTGAACAATAACCTTGGTTCTGACCATAAAGTTTGTGATAAATGACATTTTTTTTCTTTTTTCTTTTTTTTTTACTTTATAATTATTAATATATATATTAATACTAGAAAGATACTTTCGTAAGACAGCGAGATACATCGATTTTAATGTTCATTTATCTTATCTTTATCGATGTCAGAATACGATTTTATACGGTTTTAAGAAAACGATAATGTTTTTATTTTTGAATAAAATATAAATTTGAAAAAACAACATAATATAATTTTGGTTTAATAATATCAATTTTTTGAGTTTAATAATGAAGTAATTTATTTTTGATATAATAATATAATTTTTTTATAAAAATAATAACTAAGTATTCTGTTAGAATTTAATGATTATTTTAGTTATATTTTAGATTTTTTATAATTAAAATGAGATGTTTATCATGTATTTAATTATGTTTATCTACAATTAGTTATACAATTCAAACATAAAGCTTTAATAAGTTGTATTTATGCACAATCTACTTGTAATCTTGAATTTAAGTAATATGCATCAATAAACAGTACTTTATGCACAAAAAATAGTTTTTATGAGTTTTTGTCAAATACTTTATAATATAATATAGATAATAATTATTGATGTTGAAAGAATCAATGAGACCCATAAAAAAAGATTATTATAAAAACTACTATCATAGACTTTTAAGAGAGATTAATTTGATGAGGTGGAAATAAATTGGCAATAAAAATGCAAAAAAGAGGTTCTTAACCTTCGTTGCAGATGCTCTTAACTAGCCAGAAAGGGAAATAATGACATGTGCTTCAAAACGTCAATAAAAAGTAACCCATCCAATGGTTAAAATTATATTTGTTTTTTTATTAGGAAAAGTATTTAAAACTGATACTGTAAATTTAAAATACAGTTGTTTTTCTTCATAAATTAAAATACAAAATGTTCTGGGAAATCTGGAAAATCATGTTTAATGTCTTGAAACGTAAAAAGAATATGTTTCGAACTAGGAAAGTGAAATACCAATTAGTGGATTTAACTATCGACCCAGTTGGAAAACTGTCATTCAGTAGATGAGTACCTACCTTTAGAAGATAAAACCACATGAAAAATCTTCTAAAACGAAAAATATGTTTTAAGTTAAAAATTTCTTTTTAAATATCCCTATTGCTAAATCTGACTTATTGTACAAGGGTGGTGTCTGATTGGTTTGAGCTTGACTTCAAAGGTCAAAAGTAACAGGAGGTCCCAGGTTCAAATCCAAGGAGGAATAAAAATCCCCTTGTGGCCACGGAGGTTCAAATGCGGTGACTCCGGGCTATCTGCAAAGCAGATGGTCGTCCTAGGATTAGTTAGCTCGCATAACGGGTTGGATATACATGTTAATTAAAAAAAATCCGGCTTATTGTAGTCCACATGTTCATTTGCTTTCATTTTTTCACGATGGTCTGAATAAAGTCTCATTTATCAACGTATTTATGTTCATATATCCAACTTTAATCGCCAATTCAATTTCCTTTAAACCTATGCACATGCAAAACATTAAACGCACTTCATCAATGATAACACGCTATAAAATTCTCATCAATCAAGACATGGATGTATGTGGACATTTTCTCTACTAAATTTACGTTCATTGATAACGACATTAAACTACCATAAAACTTCCCTGGCCTAGTTCTAGTTAGACATGTTAACTTATTTATTGTGATATCGTTAAATATGTTTCAAGAAAAGATGATAGTAGACCATATTGTATACTTGCTTTAGAGTTCCTCTTATCATATGTCTGTGGGTGTGTAAAAACCACCTACCACTTTCCCAACGGGTATACCCACGACCCAAGTCATCAACGACCCCTATATCACATTTTTTGGCCAATCTCGAGTGGTTTTGGGGAGCGAAGTATATATTCAATCAATAACTGTCTTTTATAGAGAAAAACAGATCGATTTAATTATATTTCAAGGGAGAGCATCCAAGGCATGAACTCAAACCTATGAGCATGGTTTGTAGTAGAGATGGCCAAATGGGTCCGGCCCAGCCCGTAACCGACGGAGGCCCGTAATCGGAACCGGAACCGGCGAGGGACCGGAACCGACCGGGACCGGTAGTAACCGGTTGTGGACCGACAGTTATGAACCGGTTGGTGATTTTGGCGTTTTCTAGGACCGGAACCGGTTATGTAACCGGTTATGGGCCCGGCCCGGTTAACGAAAGTCAAACTGGTCAAACTAGCCGTTAAAAGTCAAAACGTTTTTATAAAATTAAACGTGTATATATATATATATATAACAAAACGTTTTTATAAAATTAAACGTGTATATATATATATATATAACAAAACGTTTTTATAAAATTAAACGTGTATATATATATATATATAACAAAACGTTTTTATAAAATTAAACGTGTATATATATATATATATAACAAAACGTTTTTATAAAATTAAACGTATATATATATATATATATATATATAACAAAACGTATTTTAAAACATATTTATAATAAAACATATTAAAAATAACATATTTCAAAGATATTAATAACATATTATAAATTTATTAATTACCAAAAATTTGAATTTTTTTTTTTGCAAAGGACCGGCCGTAACTGGTTATGGGACCAGAACCGGGACGGACGGCTTAACTGGTTACCGGCAAGCTTGATCGGTTATGAGGGATTTCACCGGAACCGGGACCGGTTATGATGGGACCGGTTATGAATGGTTTTTGTCTTGATCGAGACCAGCCGTAACCGGTTAAGGCCCGACCCGGGACCGATTTTTGGCCACCTCTAGTTTGTAGAACATTTGAGTCAATTTTGGATTTCTTAACTAGGGTTCTTCAACATTACTGATTTCTATCATCTGTAAGTTTAGTTTGTATTTCTATCATCGTGCTAGTTTAATCATAAGGACAAACGGAGTGTTTGACCCATGTCGACACTCATAGCCGTTCTAAAACCTATTGAGAGAATATGTTTTTGTACAACTCGATGATACATGCTTTCACAAAGAATTGGTTATACTCATCACTAGAATTCGTTCTCTATCGTTTAAAGTTCTAATCTTTTAATGCTTAAATTAATCACACAAACTATGAAAACCCCTTTTTATTGCTTTATACGCTAGCACATGACACATTTCGGAGTTTATAGTTTACACCAAGTCTTTGAGAACACGACCCTACTTATCACTATCGCAAGTTGTGTTTTTTAAAATAACAGGATTAACAATATTTTATTATTTTCCAGACTCGACACTGACCCGTCACCCGACCAACCCAACCTCCATGGGGCGAGTTGGGTTATGCTTTAAACGTTTTCCAACGGGTTGAGAATTTTTAAACCGCACTAGTTAAACTAGGTTGTTCAAAAGCCTTCAAAATGACCAACCCGACTCATGTACAACCCTAATAGACATACCATATCTTAATCCCAATAGATTAGCAAGACTTTGGGGTTGTTTGGCATTTGCTGAATGGTTTGATGTAGAATGATTAAATGGTTAGAATGATTAAGAGGCTTTTATGATATAGTGCAAAATGAAATATAATTGTTTGGTAATTGCTTATAATGAAATCAGGGCGTTTAATGGTTAAGGGAGACTTAAAATACAAAATCATTCAGAGGGTTTTAGAACCATTAAGAGACATATTTTTTTTTTACCAAACAAGATTCACTTTTTAATGATTCAAATATTAGCTCTTAATGAAACTATTAAAAAGTAAACAAAGAATCCTTTTCTGAATACAAAACTTGCACAATAAAACTTATATAATCATCTTCCAAGGTACATATTTGTCATACCCCACCACAACTACTTCAAAAGATCAAACACAAAACCAACGCAACAATACAAATAAAGAGATCAAAGTGACAAAAACGCAAAGCCATCAATGGCTTTTAGTTTTCTTGTTGTTTCTCAACCTTCCAACATGCTTCAACTATGTGATAATGGTGTTACTTAAACTTAATTATGTGGACTAATTATGTATGTTTAGTGATTCTTATGGCACATAACCCCTTTGATCACTATTTGGATACCCCACTTGTCTCTCGTACTCTTCCATGGTATCAAACTCATTGTTATTCCTATAATACCCTTCACCATTATCACTCATTTCTTCCTCATAACTACTTTCACCATTGCTGTTGTTTGCATCATATGAATCCTTCCCATTGTTGTTGTCTTCTTTCTCCTGGTAGCCATTGTTGTCCTCTTTCAAGCTCGTATAGCCGTTGGCATTGCCATTGTAGTTATTTCTTTCTGGTATGTAGCCATTGTTTTGATTCATGGAGTTTGAGTATTCTTCGCCATTGTTGCTATACATGTTCTGGTTGTAGCCATTGTTGTCCTCTTTTAAGCTCGTGTAGCCATTGTTTTGGTTCATTGAGCTTGAGTATTCATCGCCATTATTGCTATACGTATTCTGGTTGTAGCCGTTGTTTTGGTTCATTGAGCTTGAGTATTCATCGCCATTGTTGCTATACATATTCTGGTTTTCCGATCTCATGTAGCCATTCTCATTGTCGCCGTAGCCATTCATGGAGGTCGAGTAGCCATTGTTCTGATTCATGGAGGTCGAGAAGCCGTTGTCGTTGTTGTTTGAATAACCATTTCTGTTAGTAGAGTAGCTCTCACTACTTACCAACTTTTCAAAGGCCGGAGCTTCCTTCTCCGTCGGCGTGAAGTACTGATCCGCAGCAGGACCGCCTTCTTCCTCCGTCTCCACCGGCGTTCCATTCTTGGAACCACCTTCTAGGGTAGATGATGTCTGGTCTTCCTCCGTGGAGAACTCACTCGACCCTCGACCGTAAAGACCATAACCATATTCTTGCTCAACCGGTGCTGGTGCCGGTGCCGGAGCCAGAACTGGCTCTGCTACTACTCCTGGAACCACCGTGGGAGCTGGTGCCGGTGCCGGAGATGGAGAGGAGGAGATTGTTAAGGTATTGAAAAGGTTATAATGAATGAGGTTGGTGAAAAACTTGGTGTTTCTGGCATGAAGCTGGGGTTGGAGGGATAGAGAAAGGAGGAGGAGGAAGAAGAAGGAGGTGTTAGCAATGGCGGCCATGGTGGAAAAGTGAGATTTGTGATCCAAAAATGGTGGATTTATAAGGGGTTTGCCGGAATGATTTGCGGCGATTGAGGGTCGGGTGGGTGAGTCGAGTGGGGTAACCCTCAATTCAAAATGATGGAAGTCTTGTTGCATGTGGATATAATGAAAATGTTTTAAAGTGAGGGGAAGGGTGGGGTTGGAGATGCACCCACTTCACGCTACCTTAAATTATTACCTCCTTCTTTTCTTTTCTTTTCTATTATATTTTATTTTTAAAAAGTAAAATTTTATTACATAAGTTGTTTATCAAAATATTCAAAAATATTTATTATAAATAACATATTAAAATAAATTAATAAATTATTTTTATAAGTAATTCCAAAAATCCCTTTGATGTGTTTAAAAGTTTGTAGGTAAGGGGCTGTTTGGCAGTTACTGAATGATTTAGTGCAGAATAGTTAAGAGGTCAGAATGGTTGAGAGGGTCAGAATGGTTAAGTGCTGAATGAAATAATGTTGTTTGGTAACTGTTCTCTGAATGATAATAAATTACCATTTTAACCCTCTCTAAAAAAAACCCATTATTCTATTTTAACCGTTAGGGCTCCCTCAAAGTTCCCTCTGTGAAGAATCGATCCCTCCATCGTTGCCTCTCAATCGATCATCTCAATCGTTGCCCCTCAATCGTTCCCTCAATCGATCCCTCCATCGTTCCCTCTGTGAAGAATCGATCCCTCCATCGTTCCCTCTGTGAAGACCGGCGACTTAAATCGACTAACGACCGGCGACAAAACAAAAGGGAACCGACGAGACCGAAGGACGAAGGGGCTTAACTGACAGAAGCGAGACCGACGACGAAGATGGAGGACGGGAACCGACGAGGCGACGACTTGGGGAGACGAAGGGGCTGTGGAAAGGGCGACCGACGACACCGGCGCCGGAGAAGATGGGGGAGGCGATAACTTGGGGAGACGACTTGGGGAGACGATGGGAAGGGTATTCATGGAAGAAATGGTACTCTGAATGGTTGAGTAGCCCCCCACCCTCAAAATGGTTAAGAGGTCTGTGTAATGATTAAGAGGTCTGTTTTTTTTTGCCAAACACATTTCACCTCTGATCGATTCAGAGATTGGCTCTTAATGTCACCATTAAGAGCCAAACAAACAGCCCATAACTATAAGAAAGGCAATTTTTGTGAAATTAAAAAAATAAAAGAAAAAGGAAAAATAAGAGAGACAGAAAAGTCTAAAGCAGGAATTAAAAAAAAGATCTTTGACCTTCTTTCACTTTTAAAAATAAAAAAAAATAAAAAATAATAATTTAATATAATAAATAATATATATTAAAAAAGGTCTCGAAAACATAAATAATGAGACGCAAATGGGTTATCACTTGAACTTGTCGTGGCGCAATGATCGGAAGAAGGTTTTTGGTCAAATTTTGTTGTTAAAATCTCCTCCAATTAGTTTTGACTTCTTTGACCCTTATTCCTACCATCTTCTGTTATGAAAATAAGACCTAGAAATTAACTTGGTTAAGGGTGTCCTTGGTGGTGCATCGGATATGACAAGATAGAATATAATATGATAGAGATCATTGTCTCATGTTTGACATGAATTATATGTGGGACAAAATTGAACAAAGTGGAACATGCATGTTTCATTCCTATCCCATGGAACAAGGTGAAAAAGACTTATATTTTACCAATATAACCTCAAAATAAAACTTAATTATCTTTTAAAATATCAATAGGTCTTTTTTTAACATTTTATTCATTCTTTAAATTTTATTTATTGTATTTTAGGTTTCTTAAACTTTCATTTTATTGTCCTCAATTTTTTTTTTACGGTTTCTATATTTTTATTAATTTATGTAATTTATTATATATTAATAATAAAAAATAATGTAGAAAAAAAATGAAAATAAAAAAAGGAAAAGTCTAAAAAAACCCAATGGACTTTAGTGTTTGGAATGATTAAGTTCTTGAACAATTTTTTGGAACAAATAAGTCATTCGACATTCCAAAACATGTTAAATAACTCATTGGATAATTTTTTGGAACAAATAAGTCCTTGGACAATTTAAAACATGTTAAATAACTCATTGGACAATTCTTTGGAACAAATAAGTTATTGGACAATCCAAAACATGTTAAATAACTCCTTGAATTTTTCTAAAACTTGTTGGATAAATTCTTATCACTTGTACAACTAGTTAATGTGGTAAAATAGTGAAAAAAATCCAAAAAAAAACCCAATGAACATTCTTATTTTGAACGATTAAATCTCTAAACATTTTTTTAACCAAAAAGTATTTAGATCTATACAATTAAACAAATATAACAAAAAAATAATTACATTTACAAAAAAAATAATTACATTTAAAAAATATTTTTGATAAAATTTATTTTAATTAAGATAAAAATATATTTAGT